CTGATATACACCTGAACATCAGCAGGAGAGGACTCTTTAAAGTAGAGACACTACATACTGATATACACCTGAACATCAGCAGGAGAGGACTCTTTAAAGTAGAGACACTACATACTGATATACACCTGAACATCAGCAGGAGAGGACTCTTTAAAGTAGAGACACTACATACTGATATACACCTGAACATCAGCAGGAGAGGACTCTTTAAAGTAGAGACACTACATACTGATACCACCTAGAACATACAGCGAGGAGAGACCTTTAAAGTAGAGACACTACATACTGATATACACCTGAACATCAGCAGGAGAGGACTCTTTAAAGTAGAGACACTACATACTGATACACACCTGAACATCAGCAGGAGAGAACTCTTTAAAGTAGAGACACTACATACTGATATACACCTGAACATCAGCAGGAGAGGACTCTTTAAAGTAGAGACACTACATACTGATATACACCTGAACATCAGCAGGAGAGGACGCACGCCCAACATTAGCCGCCTTTAGCTTAGCGGTGGTGACGTGAAGTCATGTGACCGTGCTGTAGTTCCTTTATAGCCCAACATTAGCCACCTTTAGCTTAGCGGTGGTGAAGTGAAGTCATGTGACCGTGCTGTAGTTCTTTTATAGACTATCGTTAGCTTTTAACTTCATAAAGTGGTTTTAATAGATTATCATGCTGAACAAAACGTGTGTCATAAACGTTTGAGATTAATTTCTGCGATAATCAAAAATCCCATTGAACTGGGGAGATGCCTTCAGGGTCCAACACAGAAATCCGACTTACCTGCATTTTGTTATACTCATCAGCAAAGCAGTTATGTCAATGTTTTTACCTCCTTAATGTACTGGTGAAGTTGGTTTTCTGTGAAGATCTCGGTTGTTGAAGGTTTTCCCATTTTATGAGTGATGGTGTACAGCAGCTCTTTGTACAGAGGCTTCAGCTTTAAACGGAAATGAAGACAAAGTGAGATCTGTCTGTTGGGAAAACTATATGAAAATGATGTAAAGTACAAACACATGATCGGTGATACCTCACGCTCTTTGAGTTTCCGTGCTTTCTCTTCTGGGTTTTCATCGTCTTTCAAATCCTAAAGGGAAAGAACAGAGCATTTGATACATGAGGCGCTACAGGTGAATAGGTTAAAAAAAAAGAATGATTAGATATCAGAATGAAACTTCCCTAGTTTATGACTGACATTAAAACAATTATATTTTTGCATTATGAGTTTTCTGAAATGTTATGTTTTAATATGCAAATGAGGCTTGTAATGCTAACTTTTGCCAATTTTAGGAGAAAACTACAGAGGCATATAGACTAAGCTTATAAATAAAGAAATGTAAGATTTTAAGGTAAATCTGAGGTCTTTGGAAGGTCACCTACCCTCCTTTCTCGAATTTTCCTCGTAACCCCCAGTTTACGTGAATGGCTGGGCGACAACTGTCAAGAGAAGGAAAAGTCAGAAATCAACTACATACTGATATACAACTGAACATCAGCAGGAGAGAAATCTTTAAAGTAGAGACACTACATACTGATATACACCTGAACATCAGCAGGAGAGGACTCTTTAAAGTAGAGACACTACATACTGATATACACCTGAACATCAGCAGGAGAGGACTCTTTAAAGTAGAGAACTACATACTGATATACACCTGAACATCAGCAGGAGAGGACTCTTTAAAGTAGAGACACTACATACTGATATACACCTGAACATCAGCAGGAGAGGACTCTTTAAAGTAGAGACACTACATACTGATATACACCTGAACATCAGCAGGAGAGGACTCTTTAAAGTAGAGACACTCATACTGATACACACCTGAACATCAGCAGGAGAGAACTCTTTAAAGTAGAGACACTACATACTGATATACACCTGAACATCAGCAGGAGAGGACTCTTTAAATGAAATTTCTCAGGAGAGGACGACTACAAGTCCACATATAGTCATACATNTATGTAGTGTCTCTACTTTAAAGTGTCCTCTCCTGCTGATGTTCAGGTGTATATCAGTATGTAGTGGTCCTCTCCTGCTGATGTTCAGGTGTATATCAGTATGTAGTGTATCTACTTTAAAGAGTCCTCTCCTGCTGATGTTCAGGTGTAT